ACATTTTTTGTATGATAATAAACCAGCTATGAAAAGTTGGTTTATTATCCAATTAAGGTATGTTTTGGATAAGCCTTTATTCCGAAAAAAAAAAGCTACTGGAATATTCCAGAATAAGATACACATCTTCATAACCATGTATTCATAACATGCTCTTATGGTAATCTTGTGCTTGACATTTATTTAAATTTATTTGAGTAATTATGAATCATAATTCAACTCTATAATACAGCTACATGCAATGTTTTCCAATTAAGGTATGTTTTGGATAAGCCTTTATTCCGAAAAAAAAAAGCTACTGGAATATTCCAGAATAAGATACACATCTTCATAACCATGTATTCATAACATGCTCTTATGGTAATCTTGTGCTTGACATTTATTTAAATTTATTTGAGTAATTATGAATCATAATTCAACTCTATAATTCCCTGATTACAGAATATAACAGCATAAAATTTTGATATGACCAAATTCTGATTAATACAGGAACATGTGCTGTGTGTCCTGAACCAACCTCCATGTCTTCATCCATCTGAAGTTCTTTTGCAATGACTTCATCACTGAACAACTCCTCAGTTTCCTGTGTGGGCTGGCGAAGACCAAACAGCGATGAGTTTGAATATTTATACACTTTAAGCACACACACTTTTATTTATTCTCTCTACTCACTGCCTTCCTCTTAGTGCTGGTACTGGCCACTAGTTTCTTGTCTGACCTCAGAACACTTGAGCTGCCAAAGAAGGCCATTACTGAAGTAGGTGTTTGTTTTGGTGGCGTTGGTCCGATCTTTGGGGAGATGGTAGACTGAGAGCTCTTCCCCCCTCCCTTTGAGATCGTGTTTGGGGATTTACTGGATGAGACTTTCACCTGTTTTGCTTTTCCTGAATCTGATTCTTTCTTGCCTTTAGCTCTTCCATTTTCTTTTGGTTTAGAATCTGGAGAAATAAAAAGAGGACAAAAGAAGAGTATAAATTATTATCTACATGTCATATTAATGGATTGACAGCATTATATTATACATGTGGACATTTGTTTGTTGACTCTCTCACCAGAATCAGACACGTAAGTTACTGGGTGTTTCTTCACTGTGGCGGGATCAGTCTCTTTAGTGCCCCTCTTGGTCTTCTTCTCTTCCTCAGAGTCTAAGATAAGATGAGAGAGGAGAACATCAAAAAATAGTCTGACATTATCATCAGTATGATTCCCAGAATGTGTTTAAAAACCCCTGGACTGAGCTGAGGTATTTCTAAAAACCTCAGGGCACCCATCTCCTGTATGGCCACAATCACGTTATGTATTTGATAACCGCCATTTCTTAACATTATAAACATAATGGTCATCATCATAAGTTCACCAATATTTAAAAAAAAAAAAGCTGTTTATGAACCTGAATCAATTATGACTCTTTTCTTTCGTTTTCCAGATGGTTTCTCATCAGATGTGGGACTTGTGACCTAAAGAGAGAGAAAGGATATCGTGTAGCGCTACATAATGCATAAAACATATGAAACGAAGAATGTGAAAATGTAATTACACTGTAAATGCCATCTCATATAGATTCTGTACAAATACCAGCTTTGTACATTTGAGATTTAATTCAATGGCATTAGACTGTTGTTCTACCTTAGGCTTTGCTTTTTGTTTCTTCTTCTGCTCTTCATCAGTGCTGGTGCTTCCACTGGAAGGTTTGGGGGCCGCAGGTTTAGTGGATGCAAAAAACCTCCGGATATCCTGAAATAAACAAAAGTGAATTAAAAAAGAAATTGTGTGTGTATATATATATATATATATATATATATATATATATACATATAACAATACCATTTTTATGTAGTTGTATTATTATAATTTGAAATGGAATAGGCTAATAAACGTGTAGAGCATCTACTACCATAGTAACCGCAGGCTGAGTTTGTTCTGTCGCATGTTTACATTCAAAGTTGACAATAACAAACAGGAAGCAGGTGCTTCGTTATTACCAAAACATAAAAATCTGTATTGTAATGTTATTATGTAGTATCACATCACTTTATAACGGCCTGTCTACTGGCAGTCAGTCGATCTTATTCGTTGTTAAGAGTTCGTTTAAATGCTGAAATATTTCTCGACCAAGACGTAAACAAACGCACGCGTGAGAAGTACACGGACTACCAAGTTCATAAATAGCCTTTGCATGTTTTATTGCTTTTGTCGATATTGTTTATTCGTTTCTAGTCTATTAACAAACACCAAAAAGCTGCAAGTAGGTGCTAACTGCTTTCTTTAGCCAAACAGCCTGATCAGCTGCATTGAGCTCGTCTCGGATTGTGTCTTTATTTCTACAGATGGTTCATTAATAAGCTGACTCACCATTTCTAAGCATGTGTCAATAGCTTTTCTTTATGTTTTTGACAATTTGCGAGACAGTAGTGCTTCTTCAATCCTCTTTGGCGCCAATGATCCTCAACTCAGGCGCAGCGTGATGACGCGCAGATGGAGGGAGAGAGAGACCAGCGCAAAACATTTGATAATATCTTCGTTTCTTTTTGAGGGGGTTGATACTATGTTGATGTTAGATCTATTTGTTGGAACGACACTATAACATCAGCTGTTATATGTGGAAGTCTAATGTGTACTGTAGAAATCAGTTGCATCAAACTAAATCCAAGAGGCATCATATGATTATTCATAAGATATGTGAAATATTATATTATTAGAAGATTTAAATGAATCTTTAATAAAACAGAAAAGATCACATTAATGAAAACCACTTTCTTTAAAGTCAAGATTAAAATAAACTTGAATTAGTCTCTTACGTCATATGTAATAATAGTGCCAGGGACCCTCATCTTAAAATTTAAAAGATATCTATATAGTTTCTTGTATAAAGACCCATTTTACTGTGGAAAAAATATGTATGTTCAAATGTTATTTGTAAAATATTTAGTTTCTAATTACATGTTTTTCTAATCATTATGGCACTGGACTGTTTCTTATTTTTATTGCTAAATAATTTTAATCTTTTTTATTGATTCATTTTGACAATTTTATACCATTTTCTTTAAACATTTCCAAGGATGCCCTAGCACTTCCTCCCTGAACCCGTCTGATAACAGTTTTATGTTCTGCATTTTAAGTCTTCATAAATGGGGGGGGGACAATTGTAATTGTCACAGCAATTACAATTGCACACACACACACACACACACACACACACACAACCCAATGACAGACAGTCCTTCAATCACATCTCAGGTTATACAACCAAGGGTTAAAGGGAGAGTTCCTCCCAAAATGAAAATTAGCCTGTGTTTTACTCACCCTCGAGGCATCCCAGGTGTATATATATGATATGAAATCCAATCGGAGTTATATTAAAAATTGTCCTGGCTATTCCAAGCGTTTTTATTGCAGTGGGTGGGGGTTTCTCTTTAACA